ATCCTTCTTTGGGCTCCGTATGGGTGATGCAAAATGTAGATGAGACTCTAGTCGTGGCTCCACCGAAACGCCGATTGTCAATAGGTTCCATAAAACCCAGAAATTAGGAGTGTCATCCAATTCCAGTGAGATTGTCGTACCAAAAAATGAAGTCGTTAACACCCCTCCTCTTCGCATTACCCGTTCGACCAATATAGTCTCACAATCAAAAGATTACGATGGCCCTCCATTAGGTGCAAGAGTCATAGACACCATTTCTAAATCTACGGGGATGAAGAACAAATTGGAGGACAATGGTAATAGGCCAATCGAGGATGAAGAACCAGAATTAACATCCAAAAAGCGAAGGTCGGTGCCTTTACAACACACCCCCAAACTTATTCTTTTTCACTCTTTCTCAGTGTGTGAAGGCTGAATATTTCATTACTATCCTCACCCTCTCGAATTTAGGTGGACGTTACTAGTTGTAAGTCAACACTATAGTGAACAAGGATTCTCCAATTATTTGATTGCTCCGATCTCCAAGACTCCACTAGCTAATTATCTTGCATCAAAAGTTAATTCTCTCAAATAAGTGTTAGGACTTAACCAAGGTATTTAGTGCTTTTGCTCTTTTCATGCACTTGCTTTTTTTGCTTTTCACAAGTATTTTTTTTATTTTATATTCTCTATTAAGTTTTCTAGATGACCCATGTAGCAAACTTTAGGCCGATGACTCCAAAACCAGATGATTCTACGGCACCAGATTTTTAAATATCTTTACAGGCTTACTAACCCGAGTCAAAAAGGTTTCGAAGAGAACCAATTTTTTTTTCAAGTGCAACTTCGTCTCTAATTGCTTTCTAAATAACCCTTGTAACAAGCTTTAGGCCGATAGCTCCCACGTCAGACGACTTTAGGGCACCACGTTTTGACGACTTTAGGGCACCACGTTTTAAGATACCCTTACAGATTTAATCACTCGAGTCATAAAGGTTTCAGAGAGAAATTTAAAATTTTCAAATGTATATGCCTTGATTCGTGCAATGCCCCTTATCAGACACTTATTCAAACAAATCGACATCTAACTTAAAACTTTAGCAGAATTTTATCATGTTAGTCTAAGACAATCCACATATAAATTTTCACACATGAAATTCACATGCACATCCGTATCTTCTTACAACGAAAGTCACCCACAAACTGTGCTAAATTTGGTCTAAGGATAAGTAGTTTGATATGGTTTAGGTAAAACATCTATGTCCAATTAACTCAACCTATCAAAAGTAAGAAACAACTCATTTAATCATAATATCAAACTTAATTCTAGTGCGCGTGTAATATCAAATTTTGCAAGGTTGAACTTGAATTAGTCTAGCATGCATCTTATCTACAGTTCATAAATCAACATCAAATCTCAAATTAAATCATCATTGTTTATCAGACTGTCGAACCCACACAAGCACAAACTCAATAAAAGAGATTTTCTTTTTCAATTTTTTTTAACAAATATACAAAACGAACACACAAAAACATATAAACGCATGAAAAATGAAAACTAAAAGTTTTTTCAAATACCCCCAAACTTAAAACTAACATTGTCCTCAATGTCATAAAGTATAAATAAGCACATAAAGTGAGTAGGGAGGAAAAGAAAGAAGGTACTCCCCAAATTTTTCTGTTGAATGTGTGAGACACTGTGTGACGGCTGGATAATATTCGTCATCATGTTTTCCCTTAGATCTATATTGGTTTGAATGTTCCACAACGTTATATTCCTGAAAAATCAAATTTGACATATTAAATACAAGGAACAAGAGTTACTTAGCTCAAATAATCAAAATAATGAACAATAAATTCAAGGGCCTGAGAACAGGAGGGATATAGGTGATGACTCCTAAAAATTGAAACGTACCTAAATCTAATGTGACCTAGTAAACAAAACAAAACTATCTGCTATACAATACAAAAAGCAAAATAAAAAAAATTTTGAAAATTGGGTTGCCTCCCAATAAGCGCTTCTTTTAAATCATTAACTGGACTTTATGCTGCTGTTATTCTGGTACAACTAGGTCAAGGCTCTCTCTAGCTATGGGGAAATCCTCCGCATAGTGCTTGATACGTTGGTCATTTACTTTGAAGTTTCCTTTTGTTGGATGCTGTATTTCAACTATACCGTAGGGAAACACTTGAGAGACCGTAAAAGAGTCGGACCATCTAGATTTCAACTTTTCTGGAAACAGTTTAAGTCTAGAATTGTATAAAAGCACTTGATCTCCCACTCTAAAAATTCTTTGCCTGATGTTCTTATCATGCCACTACTTCATTCTTTCCTCGTAGATGGCTACATTATTATATGTTTCTCTTTTGAATTCTTCCAATCCATGTAACTGCAGTATTCTTGTTTCTCCAGCCTTTTCGAGGTCCATGTTTAACTACTTGAATGCCCAATATGCTCTATATTCAAACTCCACTGATAGGTAGCATGCTTTTCCAAAAAATAGTTGATATGGGGACATCCCAATAGGTGTCTTGTAAGCAGTGCGATATGCCCATAAAGTATCATCTAATTTCTTTGACCAATCCTTGCAAAATGCATTCACAGTGAGCTCCAGAATTCTTTTTAATTGTCTATTCGAGGTTTCCACCTGTCCACTTATCTGAGGGTGGTAAGGAATGGCAATTCAATGTTGTACCCCGTACTTATGCAGCACTGGCTGGAATAACTGATTGCGGAAGTGAGCTCCACCATCATTTATTATGGCCCTAGGTGATCCATAACGGTTAAAGATGTGTTTCTTTATGAAGTCCACTACCACCCTTGCGCCATTTGTGGGCAATGCTTTAGCTTCTACCCATTTAGAGATATAGTCCACTGCCACTAGGATGTACCGATTGTTGTAAGATGATGGAAAATGACCCGTAAAATTAACCCCCAGACATCAAATATTTCCACCTCCAAAATGTTGTTAAGTGGCATCTCGTGATGCGCTAATATGTTATCTGTTCTCTGACTTTTATCACGTGACTTACAGAAATTGTGGCAGTCCTTGAACAATATAGGCCAAAAGAAACCACATTGAAGCACCTTTGTTGCTGTTTTAGTGGGGGTCAAAGTGTCCTCCATAAGCCGAAGCATGAAACCGTGAAAGGATAGGTTTCATCTCATCCTCTGGCACACATCTTCTAATGATCTGGTCTGTCCCTCTTCTGTATAAATTTGGATCATCTCAATAATAGAATTTCGCTTGATGAAGCAGCTTCTTCTTCTGTTGATAGGTGAGATCAAGAACCATATAGCCAAGCTAAGTAATTAACAATGTCTGCTACCACGGAGGCTTTTCTATCTGCAGTAACTGCTCATCTAGGAAGAGCTCATTAATATTCATATCATCTGAATCATTCAGTTGCTCTAGCCTTGATAAATGATCCACTACCTGATTTTCTTTACCCTTTTTATAGCAAATTTCAATGTCAAACTCTTGCGGTAATAGAAACCATCGAATCAGCCTAGGTTTAACATCCTTCTTCTCAAATAGATATTTCAATGCTGCATGGTCAGTGTAGACCATCAACTTTGAACCAATCAAATAGGAACAAAATTTGTTGAAGGCAAAGACCACTGCTAGCATTTCTTTTTCTGTTGTTGCATAGTTGATATGAGCATCTGTCAAGGTTTTGCTGGCATAGTAGATTACATGTAACACTTTTTCCTTACATTGGCCAAGCACCACTCCCACTGCAAACTTACTAGCATCACACATAAGTTCGAAAGGTAGATCCCAATCAGGTGCTACTATTACAGGTACAGAAGTTAACTTTTCTTTCAAAGTATTAAAGGCATATAAGCACTCATCAGAAAAGTGAAATGGCACATCATTCTCTAATAGATTACATAGAGGTTTTGTAATTTTTGAGAAATCCTTAATGAACCTTCTGTAAAACCTGCTTGTCTTAAGAAGCTTTTGATCCCCTTAACTGAATTAGAAGGCTGCAATTTTTCAATCGCTTGTATCTTGGCTTTTCAACTTCAACGCCCTTTGAGGAAATCCTATGGCCCAGTACTATCTCCTCCTTCACCATAAAATGGCATTTTTCCCAATTGAGCACCAGATTCTTCTCTTCACATCGTTGTAATACAAGCGATAGTCGTTCCAAGCAATCATTAAAACAATCCCTAAACACAGAGAAATCATCCATGAATACCTCGATGTATTTTTTCACCATGTCAGAGAATATGGCCATCATGCACTGTTGAAAGGTTGCAAGTGCGTTGCATAGACCAAAAGGCATCCTTCTAAACGCAAAAGTTCCGTAAGGTCATGTGAATGTTGTTTTCTCCTGGTCCTATGGAGTAATGGCTATCTAATTATACCCTGAATATCCATCGAGAAAGCAATAATGAGAACGTCCTGCCAACCGTTTCAAAATCTGATCAATGAATGGCAATGAAAAATGGTCCTTTCTGGTGGCATTGTTTAGCTTCCTGTAATCTATACATACTCTCCACCTTGTCACTAACCGTGTAGGTATCAGCTCATTTTTCTCATTTTTCTCTCAGTAATTCCACCCTTTTTAGGCACCACATGTACTGGACTCACCCAAGAACTATCAGAGATGGGATAGTTAATACATGTATCCAACAATTTCAACATTACTTTTTGCACTACTTTTTTCAAGGTTGGATTTAATCTGCGATGTCCTTCCACTGATGGCTTTGACCTGTCCTCCATTAAAATCTTGTGCATACAAAGAGTTGGACTGATTCCTCTGATGTCAGCTATTGTCCATCCAATTGCCGTTTTGTGCTGCCTGAGTACCTCCAACAATTTATTCTCCTCTTCCCTTGTCATGTCATTTGCGATGATTACTGGAAGTGTTGTAGCATCTCCCAAATATGTATTTCGGAGATCTGAAGGTAAAGGCTTTAGTTTAAGAGTAGGTGCCTTTTTCCACTGAGGGTACCAGGGGGAAGGGTTGTCACCAAGAGATTCATACTACCAATGTCTCCTTCATATTGGTTACTCGGTCAAGTTGACAACACATTCAGCTTTTCCTGCATTTGTTGCTTCCGGTTTAACAAGTTCTGCCTCACAAATATTTGTTTGATGCTCTGCCTCAAATATATCTGCCACAAGCTCTTCAAGAACATCTACTTGGCAACAAGCGTCTGAAGTCAATTGATATTTCATCGCCTTGAACACGTTGAATATGACTTGCTCATTGTCCACCCTAATAATCATATTTCCATCATAAACATCAATCGGTGCTCTTCCGGTAGCCAAGAAAGTTCTTCCAAAGATCAGAGGAATGTTTGAATCCTCCTTCATGTCCAAAATAATGAAGTTAGTCGAAAAAATAAATTTGTCAACTTTGACTAGCACATCTTCAGTAATCCCCTTCGGTCGTTTGATCGATCTGTCAGTCAGTTGCAAAGAGATGATTGTAGGTTTTGCTTCTCCTAATCCAAGAGATCTGTAAACAGAGAGAGGCATCAAATTAACACTAGCACCTAAATCGCATAAAGAATGTTCAAAATAATTAGAACCAATTATGCAAGGTATCGTGAAACTCCCTGGGTCTTTTAATTTAGGAGGTAGCTTCTTCAATAGAATTGCACTGCACTCCTCTTTTAGGCAGACAGTCTCATGTTCTTCCAACTTCTTTTTGTTAGACAAGATCTCCTTTAAGAATTTTACATAGCTGGACATTTGGGCTATTGCATCTGCAAATGAAATATTTATGTGCAGTTTCTTAAAAATCTCCACAAACTTGACAAACTGTTTATCCAACTTCTTTCTTTGTAGCCTTTGAGAAAAGGGAATTGGTAGCACATAAGCTTTCACGGGGCTTGGTGCTCTAACTATGGATGTTTCTTTCCTTTCGTGTTTCTAATTAGTTAGTGGTTCAGACTCTGTTTCTTTCTCAGCCTCTTCAACCATTATTTCTTTATCTTTTCTCTCTGGTCTCTTCATATGTATCTCTGGAAGTTATACCCCACTTCTGGTTGTAATAGCTTGCACTTGCTTTTTTGGATTGACCATTGTGTTGCCTGGCAATGTCCCTTGTGGGCGTTCTGCAAGCTGTTGAGCTATCTGTCCAATTTGAGTTTTCAATTTCTTGATAGATTCTTGCTGATTCTCAAAGTTAGTGTCAATCTGATGGAACACCTTATCTGTCTTTTGCATGTATTGGTTAAACATCTCCCCCAAACTTAGTTTTTTCTCTGGCTGGTTATTGTTTGAACTGCTCCCTTGCTGATTATCCGACCATCTGAAGTTTAGGTGTTACCTCCATCCTAGGTTATATGTTTGTGAAAAGGGATTAAAATTTCGAGAGCCATTTTGAATGAAGTTGATTTGTTCCTCTGGAAATCCCAAAGATGTGCAATTTTCTGTTAGATGATTTGCCCCGTAGTTTTCATATGATGGACTGGATATCACTACATGTGCTCCTTTTGTTTGTGACTTCACCGATAACTCTACTTGTTTTGTCAATGCTGCTATTTAGGTGTTAGTAGATGCTGTGCTGTTAAATTCATATATTCCCGCTGCTTTTGGAAGCACCACTCTTTATGATGAAAACATGGAATGAGTAATACCAATCAACTCAAATAGATCAATATATTGTTGCATTGATTTCCTTATGATCGATCCGCCTGCAGAGAAATCCACTTTAGATTTGGACAGTGGTGAAAATCCCGTGTAGAAATACTGCACTTGATTTCCAATAGTGATCCCATGATTTGGACACTTCCTCATCAACTCCTTAAATCTGTTCCATGCTTCGTGATAGCTCTCCCCATCTTTCTGTTGAAATGTTTGAATTTTCAGCCTGATTTTTGCTACTTTAGTTGGTGGAGAGAACTTAATGCAGAATTTCCTGATCAGTTCCTCTCATGTGGTAATACTTCCATTCGGTTCAGCATCCAGTCATTCCAATGATGCATCTTTCAATGTATATGAGAATAATCGCAGCTTGATGGCGTCCTCATTAAGCCCAGGAGCATGACAATTCTGGTAATTCCTAAGAAACCTTGAGATATGTGTGTGTTTGGATTCTCATGAGATAACCCGGAGAATTACAGAGTGTTACTCATCAAATTAATCCAATCAACCCGTATCTGGAAGTTGTTTACCCCAAAATCTGGATATACTATGCTGGACCGCGCAGGTGCAGCTATAGGCATCAAAAACGTAGAATTGGCAAGTCCCTTTCATTTACTTCCCTTTGCTCTTGTTATTGATCTCTCGCGGCCATTTGTCTGATTGGCTGTATAAGGATAAGATTATTTAGATTGTCAGCTATTTGATGTTGCTATTTTTGTTTGTGTTTCTTGTGTCTTCGTCTAAAGGTACATTCTATTTCCGAATCAAACGATTCAAGATCGTCGCCTTGGACACAGAGCATATAATGAACACAGTTTTCTGTAAATAAAAGAAAATAAGCAAATCAAATAACAATTGAAAATAAGATAAAAAAAATAAAATAATTAAGACTAAAAGAAATAGTCCTCGGTAACGGCGCCAAAAACTTGTAGTCGATTTTATCTCACAAGTGGACGGATCATAACTAGTAGAGTGGACTTTTTGAGTCCGGATTATTGTTCCCATGAGGACTATATTTTAGTACTCAATTTATTATTCCTAACTTCTATTTGATGAAAATAAATAAATAAA